CACTCACATGTAATGAATAACTGCTACCTCAGAAAAATCAAGTCCTGTCCACACCCAATCTTTGGAAGTTAAAAGAGAACTCAGACCTAAAGCAAGGAAATCAAGCAAAGCAATTCCTTTTTTCCTGTTGTCCCTCCATCAGACTAGATGTTATTTGGTTGCCCTGACAAATAAGCACTGGAAATATAAAGACAAATGCTAAACTTACAACATATAAAATAGCATATTTAAGATGTGTGTCAAGCTTTGTACTACAGGATAAATGGCCTAGCAGGATGCATCCTCATGGAACAGTGGGGACACCCTGTGGCCACTTAGATTCTTTACACGTTAATGTTCACATTACTCTTAATCAATTTTTCAACTACTTTTGCAAATTACATGCAAAGTCACATAAGACTGAGTCACGAGAGGACCTGAAGGCAATAGAATTTACTTAGTTAATTTACCACCTACCATTTTATGTTGGCAGTTGCTCTGCTCTCTCAGTTTTCAAGACCTTTTCTTCTTAGATATTTTCTTAGCTTCCAAGCTGAAAAGAAAAAAAAAATTAAGGTGCTTGAACTCCTTAGGTGACAACACTAACCCCTGACAGACATGCATACAGGTAAAAAGCAAAATTCTAATTGAATTTATTTAGATGTACAGCAGTGTTCATAAAAGGCATGTACTTCTCAGATCTAGGCATTCTGCCAACAGGAAAAATACTATGAGATTAAATAAGTGTGCAAATCACCTGCCAATATTGTATGTGAAGCAAGCACAAGAAAACAAAAGGGGTGAAAGGAACTGTGTTCTTGTGAACCTGAACACGGTTCCTTTCACCCCTTTCCTTCCAAGGAGGAGCAGTTTCAAGATAGATGTGTGTGCAGATTATGAGATTGAGCACTCCTCACAGACAATTCACTACCCAAAACTCCCTCTCTGTCATATTTACACAACAGACTTCAGCTACACAGCCTGAAGAAAAGGTCCTCCAACCAGTTCATGGAACAGCTGTGGCTTCACCAGTTAAGGTCATAGCAACACACTCACTTCTGATCACATTTACTTCACCACTTAAAAAAAATATATATATATATATTTAAGATGCCTACAAAGGCTGGGAATAGCCAGTGCCAAATCCCAGGGCATATGTCCAGGTATTCCCATGAAGAGTCTCTGCAGTTTGCATGGCCACAATTTGAGCCAATTTAGTGCAGCATTCCAGATGGGAATGTAGCAGTCTAGGACTTGCCCCAAGTACTTTGCAGCTGTATAATCCATTTACAAGATTTGTTCTTGTACATATCTTCTTTAAAGCAAAACACACATCTCCTCCTTCCAAGCAAGATATTAATGTTTTCCATCAGGAACAGACTTTATTATTTGCCAGTCATAGGACGTGTCAGCTCAAACAAGATCCTGCAGAAGAAAGCACACTCTGCACCTCAGACAGTTCACTGGCACTACAAATCAAAACTCATCCAGTACACACAGGGGATGTAGCATTTCTGGGCTTCAAACACCATTGTCCACTAAACTGAACCCTTCAAATAATCACATTTAAGCTAACACCAAAGCAGTCTAGGTTATTTCCAGTGTTGAAATTTGCTTAAACTGTGCTTAGACTGCACAGGTAAAGATTGTACAGATGTTACAGTTGAGGAAAAATAAAATGTTCTCTACTACCTGTGCAAAACAAGAGCTCAAAATGATACAACTGATCAACTCAGCTTAAATCTGCTCCCACAAAATACGCCTCTCAGCTTCTCTCACACTTGCCATCTACAGCAATATTAGAAATTATCTAATGATTCATCTTGAAAGCATTTTTCATGCATGCTCTTACTAAAGAGTTTTGTTTCATCCAAATATTCACACAAAAATACTTTTGGCAAAGATTTTCTTATTGGCTGAACCTGAGTGTGCTCAAATCCACTATAAAGTGGGCTCACAAGCACTTGCCCTGTATCATTTGCCTGGCCTCTGGCCAGTTAACGTTCCCACAAAACACCACTGAAACGATTCATTTCTAGCTATTCTACCAATCCCATTCTATTAAGGGAAAAAAAAACACTCCACAAAATCACCATGAAAAAGCACACAGTGTTTGGGTTTTGTCAGTAGTTTTACTTACGATACATCTGGTAAAGAAAAAAAAAATGGAAGCCCCAGAGATGATCAGAACATGTCCAAGAGCCCTATTGCAGAACGAGGTAGAATTTCAGTCTTAAAGGAGGCAAGAGGGACTGTTTGGGCATGCTCTGCCTTGTTCCCAAAACCCACAAGGACTGCTGCTCTACTGCCTTCACATTCTGCACACAAACCTTCCTTCCCACACCAAGCATCTGCAGCAATTATTAGAACCAAGAATGTGCTGATATTAGACATTCACTCCAATGCATCAGGCTGTGCACTTCCTCAACATTGTGCAAGGAAACAACTGAGAAACACCTGTGCTAAATAATACCAGATTAATCCACTATTAAAAGTCACAGTTTGTGCTCTAGTCTGCTAAGGTTTCTGCTGAAGAAAGGTGCTGAGCTGCCAGTGAATCATCACTGAGAAAGATAATCTGAGACCAAGACAGCTTAATAAACAACTCTGAAAGGATTTTACAGAACCCATGTCTCATGTCACGCTTGTATAAGCTGTTTACAACAAGGGGCTAAGAAAGGAATCCTCAGGGAGCCACACAAGGGGGCATATTCTTCTCAGAAGAGTTATGTGATTTTTGGAATGAAGTAATCTGATGTACAGATGAATGAGACAATAAACAGTTTTTAGAGAGGAAAATGATAATGCTGGATTCTGAAACTAAGCACAGCAGGTAGCAAGCTTACAGAAGGGTGTTGAAGATTCGTACAATTTCCCAAAAGCTGATACACTTAATCCCTCAGAAAAGGAAGACTGAACTGTTACCATCACTCTCGAGTGTAATACCAGATTTCATAGGTACAGTGCAAGCATAAACCCTCCTCATGGCTTCATCTGGCACATGATTATATTACTCTTCAATTATTAAGGCTAATACTCAGAACTACACCATGCATTACATCACTAGAAGTCCACTGAAAAGCATTTCCCTTTGCCATGGAAAGAAATCCATACTTGTTAACATGCCACTGCAGTAGAGACTACTGTCCAACTACTTTTGTGCAATATTATCAGAAATAATAAGCCTGTCTCTTAGGATTCACCATATTCTTGCTGAAGTAAGTGAAATGGCATGGCCAAATGTGGACCCTAATGGATAAAATAACATTTAAAAATACAGCAGATTAAAAATTAACCTCATTCTTAATGTTAAGTGTCGTTCTCTTCAAGTGAAACTTGAGATGAAACACTGCGTAACAACTTGTTCCACTGATCCTTAAGTTAAATTCACACCACATATATTGAGTCAGGATACCAGCCCTAAAGCGTTTTCACGTTTTTCTCAGACAACGTCTATTTCAGGAAGAGAATCATAGGAATAATAGTTAATAAAAAAATTAAACAAAATATACCAGCCTGGAGTTACCACGGCCATTTCTATGAATCACATACAACTGCCTTTTTTTAAAAATAATAAGAAATTAATACAAGCTGATCAGCTGGAGATGATAACTTTGAAGACTGATGGTCCTCTCTTGTGTTTAAACACACTGTGTTTACCACACTTCATAAACTAAATATGCCCACAGTCAGCATGAGGATGCTTCTAAAACAAACAAGTCAACAACAACAAAGCCAGCTCAATTGTTTTGTTGCCTCTAGCAGTAAGTGCTGTATACTCATACAAACTTCATGACCAAAACTTTTCACCACTGAACTGCTCTGCAGCAAGGCAAGCATCCTCCCACTTGCAACTGAATGACCAGTGTGTATAAGATGTAATTTTGTATCATACAAACATTCCTTCTCATGTGATATAAACAATAACACATGATCTATTACACCAAAACCAGGCAGGATTGCGAGTATGAACAGCAGGTACACAAAACACTCCTACTCTCCTCCAACTTTTCCCTCACTCCTCAGTCTTTCTGTGTCTCTTCTAATTACCCAGCCATGTAACATTCACAATTCCCAAAGCAAGGGCAAAAAAAGCAGAATTAAAATTATTAGCTCAACACAAGAACATGAAAACACATAAACACTGGGCAAGCCTAATGCCATTATTTTTTTTAAACTCCTGATAAAACTATGACTGATTCAGAGAAGTGTGTTGTAAAACATTCATGACAGTCAAGTTGTCTCTCACCTAAAAAAAGTCTTTCTCCTTTCTTCCTGCTGCCTGATGTCATCTCTCCATTAATCATGCCTTTATTAATACAAGTTGGTGTTTAAAACAACCACCTCACAAGAAAAGTTCAAGTAAATTAGAAATAACAAAATCAGATCAACAAGATCAGTCATGCAAATAAATGCAAAGTAAATGAATGCAAAATAAATGCCAGTGGTCATTCCAGCAAGTCTGTGCCTCCACACAAGGAAAAAAACTTCAGAAATAAAGCCATAAGACTTTGGAGCAGCTATCATTTGACAATATCATTTAAACTTATGAGCCCTGCATCAACTTATGAGTAACAACTTGCACGGGAAAGAGAATTCATATAAGCTGAGGCAAACAAAACAAAATAAAATCATGCCCTTTACTTTTTGTACAGATCACCATGTACATGCTATATAGCACTATTTAATTTCATTAAAAAATAAAAATTGCCACATAGTAAGACAGATTCCCAAGTAAGTCCTTTGCTGTATTAAATCCTCAGTGTGAGATGAAGTGTCCTTTCACCTCTGTATTTTTTCAACTATCTCACCCACTTCAAAGCGTGACTAATGAAGGGTAGCTGATTGTCCTGCTGCTTGCTGACAGCCACCAAACGCTGTCTGCCCCTCTCCCGTGCCAGCCAGCGGCTTTTTCAGACTGCCGGCCTTCACCCAGCGATGGACAGAAACAGTCCTACGAAGATGCCTTGGGATCACAGTGCCGATTGCAGAAAGCGCTTTTCTCTCGCACTAAGCACCAGCTANGAGGGGACACGGGAGAGGGGCCGGAGCTGTACCTGGGTCTGGGTGAGTCCCAGAGATGCTGCGAGCTCGGCTCTTTCGGGGAGAGCCAGGTACTGAGTCTGCTGGAACCTCCTGTTCAAAGCCTGTAGCTGCAAACTGGAGTAAATAGTCCTGGGTTTGCGGATTTTTTTTCCTTTCCCATTAAAGCGAACTTCCCCTCCTTCTACCACAGTGCTTTTCTCCGATTCGGCCCCTACAAACAACAAACGACGCAGAATAAATAATAATAATAGCAGCAATAGCAATAATAGCAGTAACAGTAATAGCAGCAGCAGCAGCAGTAACAATAACAACAGCAACATCGACAATAACAATAATGAGAAGGAAGAAAAGTGAAGCTCGAGTAACGCTAACAAAGGCTCCGGGCGATTATGGCAGCCCAGGCTTCTTCCCAGCGAAAGTTTGCTATTTTTACAGGCTGCAGTTTAGGTTTAATTACCCTTAATTGCATACATTGTTTATAGCGCTACGCAATAAATAATTACGAAGACTAATACGTGCACATCTGGGTTGGTTTCTTTTCCAGCCAAGCATTGTGCGCTCTGTGTATTGGTCCCCTGTGATTCTCAGCCTCTCTTGACTAATATTTTGTAATTTAATTTAATTTTTTCCCCCGATAGATTTTTTTTTTTTTAATACAACACCCTCCCTCCCGCCTTGCCTTCCCTCCTCCCCTCCCCCCCTCCCCAAAGCCGAGTGCACCTACCTGTCTCCTCTAACCGGGTCTGAGTCAGGCTGGAGCTGTTGGGGTAGGACTGCACTGAACTGATGTAGGGGTTGGTCGAGTGGCTGCTGACCGAGTTCACATAGGGGTAGCCCAGCGGTCGGGAGAAGGACGAAGCTGTGCTGTACGAGCTGTCAGGCTGAGAGTGGCCCGCGGAGTGTAAACAGTGCATGGAATAGTGTCCGTGGGACATGGGAGAAGGAGACATTTGCTGGCTGGGCGGCCCAAACTCCATAAAGACAGCCTTCCCTGAGACGGGGCTATTTAGACTCTCTGGCATGGTAGTCATGGTCATTTCTTGTCGCTTGGTCTGTGTGTGTGTTCTCTCTTCAGCTTGCCTTTTTGGGGTCTGTTGTGTTTCTCAGGACAGGAAAGAACCCAATTTAAGCGAAACAGGGTTTTTCACTTTCCATTCATAAGAAAATGGAGTTTGTCTCTTTGAAAAGTCTAAGCATGATGCTGTAGATCTACACAAACTCGCCTAAAAGCTTTGACTCAGCCAAGTCTATGAATATTCATGAGACGGCGGAGCTGATTGGTCCGCCGTCTTGCATAATCGCTTTGGATTGGTCCGAGGCGCTTNCGGAGGGGGACATGGCACTTTTTCACTGGCATGAGAGTGGCGGTGGCGGCAGGAGCGGGGTTAGGAGGGCGGCAGCGGGGACAGCGGAGCGGGCGGCGGCGGGGATTTCTTATCCCCCTCTGTCAAACGAAGGGAGCAAATTCCCAAAGCAAACGGGCTTGGGCTCTGATATTTGATTTTTTTTCTAGTTTCAGGGGCCGCTCTGTGCTCTGCAATTAGATTGACACATGTACAACATCCCCAGCTATTCAAGGGGGTTCGCAGGGACACTCCAAGGGGATTTTTTTTTCCTTTTTTCTTTTTGGGTGGAAGATATTAAAGAGGTATCTGTTGTTTGGCAATTTTGCTAAGTCTGTCTTCATTACTTCAACATTGTGCATTTGCTAATTTGGAAGCCCCTTCCTATTGACAGCTCTGCTCCATACACCTGCAAGCAATTTGCAGAGCTCCAATATAGGAGAATTGCAGAGATGGCAGCTCGCACCTATTTTATTTTTTTTTCTTCGCTTTTCTCAATGCACAGCAAATTTGGCTTTCAGTGCGTTATCTCTTTTGTTAATGCAAAAAGATTCCCTGGGCGAAAAAATTGCTCATAATTACCAGAGAGATGGGGAAACTGCATTAGAATAAATAAACCTGAAATTACTGTAATTATGTTGTGTTTGATGGGCTCGGCTTGTAATCAAGAAGAGAATACAGTGAAATGATGCTGACCCTCTTGGGTTTGCAGCTGTACGCGCACTTTGGGGTCTTTTTTTGCAGAAAAGAGTCATTTTGATCATCATTAAGCTGTGTGTAACCTATTTCAGAAGTGTTTGAAAATGAGGGGCACTTTTTTTTTTTCCCCAACAAGGAAAAATATATCCCAAAATTACATTTTGCCATTTACGGGCACATCCATAAGGTTGTATTTGCCGGGTGACAATTGGTAAAGGTATAATATTCGAAATCAGAGCTTAATCATTGTAATGAGGTATTGTTTCAATATAAGCACCTTTGGATTATTCATAGTTTAATTAATATCCTCATTATGAAAATCTTCGAATCAGATATTTGATGAACTACTTGTCAGCAACAAGGCAGAATTAATTAGGCCTGTATTGAGATTAACATTTTCAAATGTACAATTATAATAGCCTCTAACTCAAGACCGCCTCGCTGAGAGAAAACTGATAATTTCTCTATTTGAACTGTTAGCCAGACATTATTGAATTAGGAGAAGCTGATATATCTTTAAAGCCCTCCGAGCTGCTTGACCACCCCTCTTTGGCCC